CAGCAGGATTACACTGTGAGGTTCCAGCACTGCTGAAGGGCTGGCACTGATAGAAACAGTGAATTACAGCCATGGTAAGCTACAGCATAACCTTGTGACAAGTAATTCACTTGTTCCCTACTTTCCTGACAGAGCTTTAAGAGCCATTCACAAAGTCCTTGCCTCCTAAAATGCCTTGTATGGACTCAGGACCTTATCTTTTCAGAGAAACCATGAGGAAGTCTGTCTTCTGCCCCTGGTACAAAAATTATCAGACTACCAAATCACATAAACTTGCTTCCTTCCTCTGTCTGCTTTGCCCCTGAATGTATGGCAATAAAGGGATCAGAGTGGGAACCTATAAATCTTGGTTTAATGGAAGAAGTTTGTCACTCTGTAAAAGGGTCCATTTGCTATGTCCTCAGATAAACTGAATCAGAAATAATGAACTCAGAGGAGAACTTCATGGGGTGAGCTCTTGTAAAGTGTCCTCCAGGACAGGCTAACAATTTGCCTTGCTCAGGAGAATTAAATAGGATGTTAAAACCTAAAAGGGAGAATAAGAACAGAAGATCATGAATTCTGATTCTATTCTTGCTGTGATGCAGTTTTTTTTAAGCAACCCATGGAAAAATCATCTACTGCCCTTAATCCCCACAGAGTATGGGTGACTCTCCTGCCTTGTTGCACCTTTTTATTATTTGAAAAGATCTTGAGACTCTTAAGGTAAATGGGCAACTCTTGAAGTATTTTTATGCTAAAGAATAAAAAGTGTAGTAATGAGAACCTTGGGGAGCTCCCAATGGACCAAGTCTGCTTTGATACCCATTCAGGGAAGAAGCAGTTCAGAGTCAGGGCCACCTCCCTCCTGTTCTCTTTGCTGTCTCTTTTGCTCTGGGAGGCAGATATGCAAGGAAGTCAATTTTGTCCTTTAGATATGCTGAGAGAGTAATTCTGCCCGAAAATTTCTTTCACCATTAGAGAAAGAGCAGCACTTTGGCCTTAAATAACCTGACCTCCATCAAAATCACACCCTTGACAATCGTCACCAGACCAGTGATGTGAACAAAATTTTAAAGATGTGAAGGTTAAGTTATAGAATTAACCATATGTACCTGCAGAGAAAGCTGTCAAACTTCATGAGGGTACAGAAAGGGCTAATTCCAGGTGTTTGTTTCTCACCAGGAGCCCAGTTTGCTCAGCTTTGTGGTGCCTTACCTTTTCCCAGGTCTCACAGCACTGAAATCCCAGCTAAGGAATGAGTTGGGATTTGCCATGCATGAAAGCTGGGACTTTACTGTGGTTACCAAACCAACATCAACACTTTAGCCTAAAGATAATGCTTAAACTCCTACCCTCAAACAAACCATCCCCACTCAAGTACAGCAGTACTGAAGATCAACTGCACCAAAAAGAATTCCCTCTAGGCTAACCATTGTGAAGGACCCTAAATCAAGAGTAAATCTGCTTAGATCTTCTCTTTAGTAAGATCCTTGAAGAAAGAACCAAGGGTTTTAGATTAAAAAAGGAAAATTATACCACAGTTACACACAGTATACCTAATTTTTAGTAGATAAAGTTCATATTGACTATGCCAGAACAAATCATGCAGCTTTCCTCATGTGCAGAGTGTCATTGGAACTGGGAACCATTCCCCCGGCTTGGTTTTAAGTAATTGGGCCATTTCCTGGACTGCAGTAAACTTGACCCAGTGCCTGACAGATCCTGGGAAGGGTCTTTTCCATCACTTTTAAAGGCCGGCTTTCTGCTTTTTCAACCATCTTCACTCCCTGCTTGTCTCCAAGAATATGCCCTTTAGGAAAAGGCCAATTTTCCCTGCTTTTTGGAGAGCTCTAGCACTTGACTCACATTATTTAAAGAAATTTTGCATAAAATCAGGAACAAACCAATCAGGCAATATTTTTACATTGCCAGGGAAAGGGTAAAGATGTAGGACAGATTTGCTTATGCCACAGACAAGCCAAGTGAGCACACCATAGGCTAAAGTTTGAATTTGTCACATAAGCCTGAGGAATTGTGCATTCGGTTTGTTTTCATGTTATGGTCAGAAGAACAGCACTGATCTTAAACTGCTCTTATATTTCACTTGAGAAGCTGAAGGTAGAAATAAAAAACAACCTAACTTTTCATAATGGATGCTATAAACAAGCCTATAAAAGTCAGAAAACAGTTACTCAGGCGTTGGAATATTAGTAATAGGCAATAATAGAATTTTACATGTCCAAGATTCCTTCAGGCTATAACCCTGAGAAAGAAAAGGAGGAGATGCAGGCATGGTGCTTGCTGCAGAGCCCCAGGATGAGGAGCAGTGTCAGAGATGGAAAGATCAAAGAGTCAGTCACATCCCAGAGGACACTCAGGCTCCTAAAGAAGCAGCAGAGAACAATTCCCAGTTTCCAGACCAGAACTGAACATTTCCATCTACAAGAGGGTAAATCCCTCATAGCAGTAGCAGATTTTCCTATTAGTGCTAACAGAGCAAATTGCAATTTTTGTTCTTGATTTTTCAGTGTCCTCTAAATGCACTCCTCCTGCTCCCCACCAGTCTTTCAGCTGCCCCACAGCCACAATGTCTTTTGGCTGTCAGCAAATCAGAGTCAGTGTGGGGAAAAAAAGGAATATTATTTCTTCTGATGCATTTACTTGTCTGAGTTTTCAAATAATTTGACTTTGACAAATGGATGCTGTGTACTCAGAACTGTAAAGTGGTTTAGTAAAGACAGGAAAGAAGATCTTGCCCTTTCTGAAGGAAGAGGTTGGAGCAGTGTTCCTTTCTGCCAGTGCTTTAATGAAAAGAAAGGAAGTAGTCTTAGCAAACCAGAGCTGGAAATTCTTCATATCCTCTTAACACGGAGACTCCTGAATGGCTTATGACACCGAAATCACCATATATTTTACTGAAATAAACCACAGAATGCTGTAAAGCAGCTTTATATTGCTGTGAAAATGTGGAGGTTTAGACTATTGTTACTGGCTAAAATGTATAAGCCTAAGTAGACTTAATAACAGTTTCACAGAAAGTATTTATAGTTAAAATATTTATTTCATAGAGCCCCTTTTTCTTAAAATATACAAACTTTGAAAATTATTGTTTTGACTAGAATGGATTGTTTTGAGTAGAATTATTTGACTATAATAGATTTGACTATAATAGAATAAATTTTCTATGTTAATTAATTACTGTTTCACAGAGTGAAACACAGTGCTGAATCTTATTAACAAAGTGACTTTCCACACCATTCATGTAAAATAGTTTGAGGTGATCAAAACAAATGTACCAAATGATAAGCTTTGTCCAAAGCAGTATCTTGATATGTTGTTTCACATAACCATTAGAAATTTATCTTCTTGCCTCACCCATGATAGTTTATCAGAATCTTCAGCACACTGCATTACTAAATCTTAGCATTTTCATTAGGTGGAAAATTTGTTTCCACTTTTGAGGAACTCAAATTCTGTCACCATGAAAAGAGCAATAACATTGCAGTAAATACTAATGGCAGCTATACGTATGATTTCAATAGTTTAAATTAGGTATTCCACCAAAAAGGAAGAAGAATCTTATCCTGAATGGTTATTAATTAAGCCATCAAATTATCCCAGGAAAAAATAAAAATGTTTGAAAACAATACCCACTTTTTATTTTTTAACAGCTTAAATATGAAATATGGTCCCTGGCCTGAAAGTATTGGGAGCCTATGTGAGCAGTTTTGCCTTAATTCCATCTCTTCCCAATTTGAGGATTATTCACAGCCTCTATGGCATTTGCTCATGTCTGGAAAGAACTAAATTTACAAATTACATTTGCATTTTCTAACTCTGGAACTTTGATCTAAAAATACTGCACCAATATCGCATAACAAAAAAAAATCAACACGTGCCAACACCAGCTAGACAAGAAACAGTCTATACTTTTCCAAGTACATGGGATTAGTGCAATGCCAACCAGCTTATCACACCTACAATAATTATCAATATTGTCAACTTATGAAATTTTGTTTTTAAGGTTAGTGCAGCTTCATTCTGCATGTTGTCATCAAAGTAAAGATTCGATCTTTACCCCACTCATAATCTAACAGCTGAATTTGCTTTGAGTACTATTAACACTGAACAGCCTGCCACACATAAGATGTCCAAATTTTGCAAATAAGCAGAGATCAAATTGGTAAACAAGGTGATAATGGAGAAAGTGAGACTACGTGAAAGAGTGGGGAAGAGACAGAATCTATGTTAAAGCATTTTTCCTAATTATTATTTCCTTCAATTCATACTTTAAGTGGAAAAAAGACAGTGTAAATAGAAAATCAGCATGGAAGGGTAATGGAGACAATTTTACAAAAACAGAGCAGAGAAAAAGGAGCACTTCAGGTATAAGGCAGAGAACAGAGAAAGAAAGTGGTGCAAGGATCAGGTAAAGAGAATGAGAAGAACTGGATTATAAAGGATAGAAAGCAGAGAAAGGTAATATTTAAGCAAACGCCCATATGGCTCAGGGGTTTGGACTTTTGGATTTATTTTACTCTCACTTTTACCTCTAGTGTACAACTGGGTGAATCAAGTAAATTCCTGGAATTGCTGGTGAGATACATCCAATGTGAAGGGCCCAGGACTGGGCCATGAGCTGTAAAAGAAATCTGAGGCAGGGACTGAAAAGAGATAGCTGGAGTTCTTTAGTACCTAAATAGTTCGCTTAAGGTGGGAGAACAAGGGAAACAATTAAAAGAAGTGAGGACAAAAGATAAAGAAGACAATCTTTCACACTGAATAGACAAACTGTATCCAATACTTCTTCAGGTGATGAAAATGCAAAGCTAAAGTAAAATGTTAATGTCCTGTCCATTTTATCCTTGGACTTGATTCATTAACAACTCTGGATTTATACCTGATTTTATACCATCCATCTTTTAGCAGTCTATTTCCTATACAACCAGCGAGACAGGCAAGATTCTTTCTTGGCCTGAACTCCTGGTAGTGTTGTGTGTTGTCTGGTGTGATTTTACCTTGCCAGCAGGCCCCCACTGTGAGCTGCATGGCGATGTGGGAGGGGTGGATGGGCCAGTCGTTGGTCACCAGGTACGGCTCGTACGTCGCCCCGTCCATGTACAGCGTCACCACGGGGAACTCCACGTTGACCACGTAGTAGTGCCACTCCTTGTCACAGATCTGGGAGACACACCACAGCATTAGTCAGCTCTTACAGGGGCTGATTGTTATATCCCATGTGGTTTTCAATGTGTTTCCAAATTTCAGTTATGGGAAATAATGTTGCTGTAATTTCTATGTCTCTAACATTAATGATGTTGATAAATACTCTTGGCAAAATACATATTCACAAAATATATGTGATAAATAGAGGCTTCTTAAAACACACTCTGAAACAAGACATGGATAGAAAATAGAAAAATCAGGCAATTTGGTATTTCATCTGTATTTTCACATTTCCTAATACATAATTATCTTGGATTACAAATGCAGGATGTGGCTGGGGTTGTGTATTCTATTGCCATTGGTTAGAGGTGGGGCAGTCCTCTGCTGTCCATGGGCAGTTTTTTCTTTATCTCTCCCCCAGCCAACCCTCCCTCCAGGAGATCTCTGCTGTCCATGGCCACTGAGTGTCCCTGCAGGGCTGATCCAATCCCAGCATCCCATGGGGAGATGCTCCGCCCAGGGGAGGAGCCAAGCTTTCCTACCTGGATCCAATCTGAGCCTGGCAC